TTTTTTAATACAATTGACCCCTGTGACCTTGAATATAATTGAAGGTCATTCATTTGAACAAACTTGGTAGCCCTTCACCCAAGCATGCTACTGGCCAAATATCAACTCCCTGGGCATTTTGGTTATTGAGAAGAAGATGTTTAAAGTTTTTGACATATTTGACCCCTGTGACCTTGAAAATAGGTGAAGGTCATTAATTTTAACAAACTTTGTAGCCCTTCATCCAAGTTTGCTTCTGGCCAAATATCGACACCCTAGGCCTTTCGGTTATTAAGAAGAAGTCGTTTAAAGTAAAATATTGACGCCGGACGACGGACAGACGGACGACGGACGCCGCGCCACGGCATAAGCTCACTTGGCACTTTGTGCCAGGTGAGCTAAAAAACAGGGTAACAAAGATACAGAGTATATATGTAAAGGTAATGTGAAGGGTGTATCATGATCAAATATAATTCTAATCTCAAGTACATATTTATTTTAACTTCGTCTAAAAAGGGGACAATATCACAGACTGTTTAATTTAATTGATGCAGAAACATGTACACACAAGACATTAACTATAACTCTAGTAATAATTTAAAAGTTTAAAAGTATAAATAAATCTATTTAATTTGTTTACTGCTGTTATTAGTAATTCAAATATTTTCAAATTAATGTATGTTAACCATTTCACCACTGTAGACCATAATGGACTCATCCAGATCAATGCATGGTAGAGTCTACTAAAGTTACATAGGGGTGAAAGAGTTAACTGTCAAATCCAGTACCTACAGTTACGTCAGTCTTACTCAGGGCTCAAAGGTCAACTTTGGGGTTGTATATTAAAGGTGAGGTGCATTTAACAATAACATACAAAGAAATCTCCAAATATATAAGACAGTCTTGGAGTTCCCAACTTTTTAAATGAATAATTTAAGGTTTAACTTTATACATAATCCTCACTTGTGTAAACTGTTTACAGTAACAATTTTATCATATTTGGTTGAAATGAAGATAAATGTGAAATATAAACCTAATAAATAATACAACGAGGGTACATTTGAGCACAAAAAATATCAATTCTGGTGTCTAACTTTCCTCAAAATGATAAACTGTAACACTGACTTTAGTCTCCTTTGACTGCAGTACTTAGTCCTTGGGGGCATCCAGTACTATTGCAATTGTCACAAGTGAGCATGACATTTTCTTTTTTCTGTATTTAAGTGTAACACAGGAGAAAGAGAAATGCATGGCCAGATATAGACCTGGGTTCAAACTGGTAGCAGATGACCGACGGACCCAGTCCAGTTCCGCTACACAAGTAAGCTCACACAAATATTTTGAAGAATATTAAGGGAAGTCACTTTTGTACTACCTAGGTATTTCCTTTTTTCTGTTAGAAATAACTGAAACACACATGGAAAAGATGAAAGGTATAATTTTTTTATATAATTTCTATATGCTATTTAAGTCATTATCATCAGCTGAATAAAATCATTTAAAAGTCATCAGTAAGTCCAGCTATTCTACAAACAGAAAAAATATGGTGTATGTCCTTGACTTTAAATGTAAAATCTAAGACCTTTTTTTGTTGATAAACCAGGTAAAGCATTTGGCTGTTTCTTTTTCCTCTTATTTAATTTGTTTATTTGACAAATTTCACCTTCAGGGCTCATCAGAACCTGGTCACCTAGCCCGAGTTTCCTCTGGCCCTAATACCAGACTCCGACATTTTGATATAGATGTCTGGTGTGGGGCCAGAGCATACTGCTATATAAAAACATGGAATTCTCTGACACCGTTTGGTATCAGGGAGTGACTAATCAACAAAAAGATGCTGTCCAGAAATCTTCTAAACAAGAATAATAGTCGGTTTTCAGTCTGAATCAGGACGGTTTGTTGATAAAGTCACCCCATGACCTTAAAAAAATGACGTTCACTCAGGTGGGAAATTTTGAACAATTGAACCGTTGGTGATAATAAGAGCTGATTTGGATCAATAAATAATCCATTTATCGATATATGTGAGGTTTGTGCTGTGCTATAGAAATTTTGTTGTCAGCACCTCAAAACTTTAGACTCCAATACCAAATGGTGTCGGATAATTCCACGTTTTCATATAATAGTGTGCTCTGGCCCCACACCAGACATTTATATATATGTCAAAATGTCTAAGTCTGGTGTACGGGCCAGAGGAACCTTGGGCTACTGGTCACCCAATGCATCAGGATTGAGCACAAATGTACCTTAATGATTGAATTAATTGATATATTTGAAAAAGAAGTGTTTAAAAAGAGATAAATTCTCCATTTCAGTAATAGTGACTGAAACAGTAACTATTACCTAACTAAAGGATTATCCCTAACCTGTGTCCAACTACTACTAATATTAAAACCCGGCCTCCTCTGCGCGTGCCCCAATATATCTCGTCATCAGAAAGCTAACAGGTCCAGTACACTCTGCCGATTGAGCTATATATATAGCTATAAAGACCTGTACAGCTACATGTATATTCACCTACAAATTATAGCTGTATTGAGCTTTATTTTCTCAGATTCCAATTTTCATTATGTAACAGGGATAGATTAATGTATTTGCTTTTATGTATGTTTGCTTACTAAGTCCGTCCGTAGCGCGTCATCTGTCCATGTATATATTTCATACTCCGTGTAATGTAACTACCGCGTCCGCAGGTTGTATTCTATGCTGTGATGTTATGTATACAGGTGTATTGTGGTGTTCTGCTCGTTATGTATGTTGATACAATGCATTGGTATACCATACAGTTGTTCATTGGTCAGTAGTGTTACGTCAAGTTGTGTATGCATTTTCATTGGTTCGTTCTGGGTGGTCAGTTTTGGCGCATGTTTCTTTGTGGGCAAATAAATCACGCTAGTACCTTTTGAGGACTCGTAGGTGACGGACGGAGAGATGTAATGTAAGTGTTTCTTTGTCTTTGTCTAATACCCAACGTATATGTGTTTTATTTGAGTGATAATTCTATTTGGATCAAATCTAAGTATAGATGATGGGTTATTCCTTTAATAAGAAATCAGATATGATTAATGTATTTTTTATATTAAAACGTAATAATGGAGGTCATGTAATTTGATTTTTTGTAAGAGGCGATATTACGTTGTGCTCATTTGACTAAGTTTCAATAAATTTATTTAGATGTCTTTTATTTAAATTACAGTAATCCGTATCGCATATGATCAAAGAAGGCGTCGTAATTGTATAAATAAATTGTAGCCAAGGCCTTTTGCCACACTCAGGTATGCTAAAGCGTTTTTTATGTAAAAGTATATGTATAGTATTAATTTGAGGAGGTATATGTCGCTAGACTGCTAACTGAGAATTGAGTATATTGTCCAGTAACTTTGTGTTGAGTCAAATCTTCAGTTTGATTGTATTTCGTAAAAGTTGTAATTGTAATGTGTATTGTCTTATCGTTGATACTAGATTTGTAAGGTTAAAAGTTATGTAATCGTGTAAGAGTTATTTCCCTTGCATTTGTACTATTGAATATGATTATGTATGTCTATTTTATATATATGACTGTAGCTTGTATTTTGTACTTGTTGCAGGGTTCTTTTGGTTTTACAATGAGTGAATAAAAGTGACAGTGAACAAAACCCAGAGGAGTTGTCTATCATTCACAATATATACCACCTCTACTACAATTCAATTATATAGCAAAGTCGCATACAACAATAAGGTTTATGGTAATGTTGACTGCAATAAGCATACGGTTAGATATTTCTTTTCATTTTTCATAAATGTAGAATTTCCGATTTTTTTTCATCAATATTTTTTTATAAAGAATACTTATATTTAATGTCTTTTGATATCAACCTAATGATACAATCTTCTTTTAAAAGCGACTTTGTTTCGTTTTCCTTAAAAAAGAAAATCACTTGAAAATAACTCAAAAGACCTATAGCTATTATACAGATAGGTCAATAGAGGTCTATACAGCTATATATACAGATATAGCTCAATCGGCAGAGTGTACTGGACCTAGCTGCGATAACGTAGCTTTCTGACGACAAGAGATGTTTTTTTATATATTGCGTCGTCAGAGCTACGAAGCGGTCCTATGCCAACTAATGGAGCAAAATCAAAAGTGCTAATCTGTAAGATTGCATATAATTCACGTCTCATATGAGTATAATGTTATCAAAATATTTCATAATTGTTGAAAAACGAATCCTTAACCATGCAAAAACTTTTTTACGAAATTAACAAAGTCCGTCTTGGGGAAAAAAATAGAAACGACCGCCATGACAGATAATGCGTGATGTTATCTCAATTATCCTTTCTATTATACGGCCTGCATGGCCAAATATAGTATTACTACTGATGCCGCCATGTTTACTACAATTTCCATATTGGGTCATGACACCCATATTTGGACGTCTGAGAGACAAACTTTCCAACGTGGCGGTCAATTCAGATTTCGATTACGCTTGATACGTTTACTAGATAATTTAACGACATTTTAGGCAGAGTTTAACTTCAAGTTGTGCAGGATATCAACAGAAATAGTTCATACTACAAGCTTATTTATGGATGTGGACGAATGTGCTGTCAATTAATTCTAAATTCGCCCCGGTGTGATTCACACCGGGCTTGCTCCATTACAAGGCATGGGATCGATTTAATACCCGGCCGGGGCAGAGGAGGCCCCGGCCGGGTATTTATATTAGTACTATACATATATATATATTAGTGCTATAATGGACCTGGCTACGTTATCGCAGCTAGTGTCCAACCTGTTATACATACGTCAATCATTTTCATAAATCGTGGAAACACAGGCTGTCGGCCAACAGCGATGACAGGAACTTTAGGATAGGTGTCCGGTATCACAATAGGCGCCAGTGCTCGTAATGGGGGTTTGGTCGCAAGGGGTTCGTCCTCCTGCTCCTTCTCTTCCGCCTCCGGGTCTGTACTGCTGCAAAAATGCCTTTGCTGGAAACATGACGTTCTTCTCCCATGACGAATGATGCTTGAAGGAAAAACTGAACTTCTATATGAGGACACTAAGTTGCGGTAATTTTGTGACACTGTTGACCGACAAATGTTTCGCCGCAGAACATGATGTAATCGACATTGAACTGGAGTGGTGTTTTTCCCCTCACATAAGGTTTGTAGGGCAAAATTCCTAAATGATTTACTTGTACCAATGCCACTCTTGCACCTTCCATTGATTAAGTGTGTAGGAATATGTCCTAAATTAATCGTAAACCTTAAATTTGATTGTTTTGAAGCACACGTGCCGAAATTTCTCACCAAGGCAGCCATCTTTTATTTGTTTCACTTCCGGTACAATTCGAAGAAAAACAGCGGTATAAAATATCCGGAAAAGTGCAATATTTTTACAAGGGTTGAAAACACGTTTTTCTAACCCAAAGTCGGTTATGTGCCGTATCCTTATGTTAACTTTGTTATCTTGCACCCGTTAAAATTTTCAGCATTTTTTGGACCAAAGTGATTCAAAGTATAGCAGGGTAGAAATGTTTTTTTATATTTCTTCATACTGTACAATAATTATACCCAAAATTCCCCATCACTGAACTTTTAAGATGATATTTATTATTGATAATGAAACTTGAAGTTGATATTTGGTACAATGAATATTTGTTATAAACAATTCTTGATGACAAATGGTATTTAATCTACTGCCTGATATAACTTTTTGCTTTAATATTTTAGTATTTTAAATTTTTGTCCCTGCTTATAGCATATCCAATCAATTTCCTTGGAATTGAGGGAAATTGCCTAGAATGTTACATCTTATAGTTAATATATATGTATGTATTATATACTATTGATAGAGGATAAAGTTTACTTATATTTTATACATGTATTACAAAAATGTATATCTTTTCACCTGCGCAATACCATTTTTTCTTGCACATGTATTCATTTTCAGTATAACTGTGGCAATCTTGCCTTTGGCATCAAGTGGCACATCGATACCACCTTAAAAAGACAAGAGGTCCATTGGACCTGTATCGCTCACCTGGTTTTATATTTAAGTCATTACAACTGAATGCATTAGAACATCTTTATATGAAATTTCTCAAAACCAGACAAGATCTATGTTCTAACTCAACTGGGACCACAATATCTGACTTTCAACTAATCAGAGGCCTCCATTGAGTTGCCATGTTAACAGATTTTGAAATTTTAAGTAATATGTCATATTACCGGGTGTAATTAGACAATACTACATGAATATATATAATTAGCGTCTTAAAGCAAAATATTAGATGATTTTCCTGTTTGGGGCCCGGTCTTCCTAGCCCCAGGTGTCGAACAAGTCTCATTTATTTAGGAAATGATTGCCCTCCCCCAATGAAGTTTCAGAGCAAATTTGGTTGAAATCTTCTCTGGCGTTTAGGAGGAGATGCCTTTTAAAGCAAATTTAGCTAAGTTCCCCTTCAGGGCCCTGCCCCCCATGGCCTCAGAGGTCGAACCAACCTCATTTATTTAAGAAGTGATTGCCCTCCCCTAGTGATGCTTCAGACTAAATTTGGTTGAAATCCTCTCTGGCGTTTAGGAGGAGATGAATTTTAAAGCAAATTTAGCTAAGTTCCCCTTCAGGGCCCGCTCCCTGGCCCCAGGGGTCGAACCAACCTCGTTTATTTAAGAAGTGATTGCCCTCCCCTAGTGATGCGTCAGACCAAATTTGGTTGAATCCCTCTGGTGTTTCGGAGGAGATGTGTTTTAAAGCAAATTTAGCTAAGGTCCCCTTCAGGGCCAGGCCCCCCTGGCCTCAGTGGTCGAACCAACCTCATTTATTTCAGAAATGATTGCCCTCCCCTAGTGATGCTTCAGACTAAATTTGGTTGAAATCCTCTCTGGCGTTTAGGAGGAGATGAATTTTAAAGCAAATTTAGCTAAGTTCCCCTTCAGGGCCCGCTCCCTGGCCCCAGGGGTCGAACCAACCTCGTTTATTTAAGAAGTGATTGCCCTCCCCTAGTGATGCTTCAGACTAAATTTGGTTGAAATCCTCTAGACGTTAAGCAGGAGATGCGTTTTATAGAAAATTTAGCTAAGTTTGCCTTAAGGGCCCTGCCCCCCTGGCCCCAGGGGTCGAACCAGACTCATTTATTTAAGAAATGATTGCCCTCCCCTAGTAATGCTTCAGACTAAATTTGGTTGAAATCCTCTCTGGCGTTTAGGAGGAGATGAATTTTAAAGCAAATTTAGCTAAGTTCCCCTTCAGGGCCCGCTCCCTGGCCCCAGGGGTCGAACCAACCTCGTTTATTTAAGAAGTGATTGCCCTCCCCTAGTGATGCTTCAGACTAAATTTGGTTGAAATCCTCTCTGGCGTTTAGGAGGAGATGCATTTTAAACCAAATTTAGCTAAGTTCCCCTTCAGGGCCCGCTCCCTGGCCCCAGGGGTCGAACCAACCTCATTTATTTAAGAAATGATTGCCCTCCCCTAGTAATGCTTCAGACTAAATTTGGTTGAAATCCTCTCTGGCGTTTAGGAGGACATGCATTTTAAAGCAAATTTAGCTAAGTTACCCTTCAGGGCCCGCTCCCTGGACCCAGGGGTCGAACCAACCTCATTTATTTAAGAAATGATTGCCCTCCATTAGTGATGCTTCAGACTTAATTTGGTTGAAATCCTCTTTGGCGTTTAGGAGGAGATAGGTTTTAAAGAAAAAGTTGATGACGGACGACGTACGACGGACGCTGTGCCTTGGCATAAGTTCACTTGCCCTTCGGGCAGGTGAGCTAATAAGAATTAATGTAACAGCTTGGTCTGAAAGTCTTTCATTGATATATATTATATACCATACATTTTTCTGCTCTTTCTAAAATATCCTCACTTTATATACGTACATCATATCCGTATAATTTTTTATATATCTTCAGCAATTTTTTGGTCAAAAACTAGTATTAGTTTGTTGATAACAACTGACAATTCTTCTATTAATTTACCTTTTTTCTGTGAAGTTAGTAACAAGCATGACTTTTGTTTTTTTCTGTGTTTACACACATTTTGTTTTCATCGCAACATTTTGACACTAGTTTGGATCAGCATTAAGGTTGGTATTTACAATGTCAAGTGATTTCCCTTGTGATTGCGTTGTCATCAGCATACATATACAAAGAACTTTGATTTGTAATCAGGGACAGGTCATTTACATATAAAATGAACAAAAGTGGCTCCAATATTGACCCTCGAGGGACACCGACTGTAAGAAGGAGAGAATCGCTCAAAGTGTTTTTGAAGTTTAAAATTTGAAATCTCCCGCTCAAATAACTTTGAAAAAAGATCATTGTTTTGGATGAACACCCATACAATTCCAATTTAGACATTAAAATAGAGTGGTTCACAAGGTCAAATGCTTTTCGAAAATCAAGAAATAGAACACCTGTTATAATATCTTTGTCTATAGCCTCATACCAGGTGTTTGTGATATTGGTCAGCGCAGTCTGACATGAGTGTTTTGCTCTGAAGCCAGATTGGCTATCTGTATTCAAATGGTGGTCAGACAAAAAAATTGAAACAGGTTTTTCCTTTGTTTAAGGTAACCAAAACCGGCTCGGAAAACTGATCAAACCACACCCGGGTGCGGTTTGTAATTGGTTTCCCAATCTCAGAAATGGCGTCGACAGAACAGTAGAAAACGTGATGGTAGATAGCGAATGCAGAGGAATTTTTCAAGATACTGACTGATTAAACGTCCATCTCTGCTGCGCAAACATTTCTATTATTTAACAATTAACTAGAATATATTTTTTATGTTATGGAGATATAACACAAAAAACGGAGTGTACTCTAAATAAACCGTGAAGCGGTTTATGATGAGAGTACACTCCGTTTTTTTGTGTTATATCTCCATAACATAAAAAATATATTCAAGGTAATCCTTATAATCTAATCTACTTTAAACAATCACAGTGGAAAAACACTTTCATTGATGGACTCTTTTCTCTTAGAAATTGTTACGCCGCTGTATCAGCCAATCAAAAGCGACGTTACAAACAGTGATGTCATTTTTTAATTTATGGGCTGATAACATAAATTGAACACAATGAAAATGCTTGTTACAATAAATAAATGTATTACATTATATGAATTTGTTTAAGTTGAAATATTCAAAAATCAATAAAAATGTGCAATTTTGAAAAATTAGTTTTCATAATAAATTTAACAATCAAAGATCATACTTGAAATATACCCAGCGAAGTGTATTCGAGTAGTCTTTCTTCGAACACTGATTCAAAATAGATGCACGAAAACATATGACTGCCACCTCCTCCAGGTGAAATTTGTCGTTTTTTCTTTTTAAAATACTGTTTTATTTTGCTAGTTTTTATTTCCATTAGTAGACTGCATGTACACGGGGGGTTTTGACAGTCATTTCAACAGTTTTCTACTGATATGAGTATGTAATCGCGGCTGTTTCTTAAACCTGGATTTGTTTGAACAGTAGTAAAACCAAAGCCGAACCAGTTCTAAACCTAAACTATAGCCAAAACTGGTTTTGTGTTAGAATTGCAATATAGAATATCCATATCGCACATACCAACAAAAAGGTTGATTCTATTATTGACCTTCAACTCATAGAAAGCACTATGCTTCATGTATATAACAAGTGGCCATATATTATTGACCCTTGGTTTCTGACTTCTTTTTAAAATTATTCAAGTATTTTAATACCAGGTAAATTTGATCAAAATGATCTTGAATATAGGTCATTTTTTTTTTTCCTTACTTGGTTTTACTCAATGACAGCAAGCTTCATGAGAAACTATTGTGAAAGCTTAGTAGAAGTCACTGCCAGCAAGCTACTGGCTATATATCTCTGGGCCTGTGAGTATTAGTGTTTTAGAAGGTATATAAAGCTCAGCTGTTTTCTAGACCTCTTAGTGTTTTAGAAGGTACAACTTGAGTGCTTTAACATATTTGACCCTTGTAACCTTGAAAATGAGTAATTCTTTTCTCAAACCATATCAGCAAGATACTAGATATCATGACCCTAGGTATTTTGGTGTTTTAACATCTATCCGACACCTTTTATCTTGAATAAAGGTCATGTATTCCTGCCAATTTTGTAACATCTTCTTCAGAAGAATTTTGAGTGTTTAATCATTCAGATATTGCACAATGGATTGCAAAGCACCTCAGGTGCCTGTTTATAGAGATTTTGTTTATTTATACATGTCACAATATAAACATAATTTTCTTCTTTGGTATCCAGTTTATAGACATGTAAACTTTGTAGTACATTTACTAAGGGTGTTACATAAATAAATAACAAAATCATCCAATTATAAGTTAGTTTCAATAAAAAAAATCCAGATACCTTAAATTTTACACTTTTTTGGACAAAAGGGGCCAGCCCCGTCTCCTTTGCAAATTGGGACTACTTCCTACAAAATTTGGTTGTAATTAGCCTTGTGATTCTTGGGAGTAAAAACAGGTTCAAAGAAAAGTTTACGAAAGGACAGTAATGGATTACAGTAGCTCACATGGCCCTTTGAGCCAAAACTCCAAAAAACAGTTACAAGTGACAAAGTGCATGGCTATGTGTAACACATTTTAGAAAATCAGCTGAGAATTAAGGTATTATTTTAGCAGCAGTGCATGAAACAAACGTTTGTCCAGAAACTGATGGACATCCGGGTTCCAGTATATCCCTTCATTAATAAGACAGAAGTTCAAAACGTATTTCCAATTGGTCATTTTCCATTGCAGTTTCCTTTTCTCTACCCGTTCCTATTTCTCTGTAGTGGTATACTTAGGCCCCTTTTGCATATCCTGTTCAACCAGTTGAACCCGACAGAAAACGACAGGCACAGATCTAAACTGAGGCTGACCTCAACCGATAGAAAACGACAGGCACAGATCTAAACCGAGGCTGACCTCAACCGACAGAAAACAACAGGCACAGATCTAAACTGAGGCTGACCTCAGGAATATTCGTCACGTGTAGACTGAGGGGTCCAGACATGCCGACTGAATCTATAATGCTGACTATTGCTAAGTTTGTGTTATTTCTTTATAAAACAAAGGTCAATCCACATGTAGATTTTAATATACATTATATCATTTAGTGGATACTTAAAAGGACATTATTCTATATATATTTTATTTATTCTCCGAAACTGCATTTTTTAGCTCTGCCTACAGTTTGGTCCAAGTAAGTTCGATTATCGTGGACCAACCAGGATACGTGAATGCGACCTAAATGTACCTATAACCCAGCTACAGAGAGAATGTACTAAATTTGAACAGAAAGTAAAACACAAAATCTTGTTTGTTTGGATGATTGTATTCTTGTTGACAGCAGAAATGTTACATATACAGCTGTAGGAGAATGCCCTTAACTCAATACATGTTATACACCATGCAATAGCACTGATAAATACATAGAACCCAGTACATACCTTTGTATACCCGGTCATCTTAGCAGCTGTGGTAAATATGCATGAAGACAAATCCGCAGATTCAACAGAATATTTCAAGTAAAGTAATATGATATTCAAAATGCAAATATAACATAAAAACTACATGAAATCCCCACTCATATCAACAAAAATATACTACTATAAATGTACATGAAGTCGGAGCAGGCTCCAAGTTCTACTCCTAGTTCTACACTTAGTTATCACAATATGCTAGAAATTTTGTGTGTGTAAAACATCAGTGTATTATGCTCCTAGTTTTACACTACGTCCTACTTTACAAGTAGCTCGTCACCCCATTAGACCTATTACAGTAAAAGCATAACTTGTCTACATCAGCAAGGGTAGACCAAGATGAATTTTCTATCCCCACTCCACTCCTAAAATCAACCCGTGATATTTTTTTAGTATCATCACATGTTCCCTTAAATTTTCATATTGAATTATTTTTCTGTTTTGCTTCCAAATTGTTTTCAAGAAAAGAATTGGTGATGCCATAAATTTCCAAATAACTTCACCCGTCTTCCAATAAACCTTACACATTGGATCTGCGTCTGATCTGTACCTGATTGTAAAAGAAGGCAATACGTCACCTTATAAACATTATCACTTGATGTAAAATGACTATTCTTAATGTAACAGAGCACATGATTAATTAAATATGAATCACTACCTCCGCATGGGATCGAACCCGGGACCTCTGGCTTACTAGTCTAACGCTCAACCGATCGAGCTAAAGAGAAGTTCTCTATAGCCGAGCGATATATTGCGGCTAGTATTTACCAGGGTTACATACTCCCCCTTCCAGGAAAGAACTCGTCCTCGAGTTTTTCCAGGGGTAACAGCGATGCTTGTGGAGCAAGGCCGAGTATTTTTCCCGGGTCCCTACGTGGGCGCCAATGTAACAGAGCACATGATTAATTAAATATGAATCACTACCTCCGCATGGGATCGAACCCGGGACCTCTGGCTTACTGGTCTAACGCTCAACCGATCGAGCTAAAGAGAAGTTCTCTATAGCCGAGCGATATATTGCGGCTAGTATTTACCAGGGTTACATTAATAATTTTGAGACCACAATTTTATGACTAATGATATCAATGTAGTAAATGTATTGACTATAGGTAAACAAAAATTACCACATCTGATCATAACCTACATAATCAAACCAGGAACTGATACCAGGGCGGCGTATTGTGTCGAGGTTCATTTCTCCCCACTGCGCCTAACCATGTGTTAAATATCTGATATCGAGGCTCAGACCTATCAAACATGTACAGATGCTGATCTGAAATCGGATCTGAACTTATGCATTATGGCACTTGTTTTATGAGTGAATAAGCTCTGGTGTACTGAATTTTTTTCTAGATTTGTTTTAAGTCCTAAACTCATTCAATCCAATAAGTCATCTAATTGTACTCAAAGTGTTTTTTCACACATAAATCTAGTTTCATTTCCTTGCCACTCATATAGTTAAATGTCTTTTTAAGACCACAAATTTATCTTGGGAAAAGGTTTTTCTTCCGTATAATCTGTTATTTTTACGCAATGCAACTAAGTCAAGCTATTCAAAAAGTTATTAAACTTTGTTTTGATATAAAAAAAAATATATAAGTGACGATATAAAATAAAGAAAACGAAAGAAAAAGTAAATATCCCACTATATTCGTGCATGTAGTTGTGCATATTTCAACAAATATTATATATAAGCATGATTAATGTATACGTACACGTTACCAGATACAAAAATTGCAATAACATGATTTACAACATGTTGCCAGTGTTATGGGGCTTTGAACACCATGTCCCAGATGCACCTTATATGTCATTCTGATGTATATAAAGTGCGTCTCGGGATACATCTGGTGTACTTTAAATAACAACATACTCGACTCATTATCAAGGTTTTCCAAATAGAAAGTTAACGTTTTACACCAGTCAGGTGAAAGTATGAAGGAATGATTATATTTTAACATTTCGGGATCTTGTATTAATTTTTAATAGTTAAATGACACGTACCAAGTTTTTAAGTACACATTATTTTTGTTTAAATGTCTACTAGAATATGAGTCTTTTTGTGTGAAGTATCAGGTGGTTATCATTTGAACCCGATAATAAGCATATTTTGCTTTAATAACGAGACATTATGTAAACATCATTTTTGTAATTTTTATTTCACTGTGTCATTAAATTGATGAAAATCTATACAAGCGAGTCCTGCACAGACAATGACAAGGAAAAGACTTTTCTTCTTAATGAGTAACTTACATAATGTAAAAACAATTTGTGTAGTAATATTCTTATTGTGAATATGTTATACAGCTTTATATTTTGCAGTTTTATCTCAACCCTCATTTTAAAAAGAGAAAATTCACACAGCTTGCTCTTTGCTGAGTTAATGTTATTTTTTTTTTTTTTTGAGATTGTTTGCTTTGAAATTTTACTTCATGTTGAATTTGATTATTCATCTTACCAACCAAAATATGACTGTATAATCTATAATCTGCAAACAGTAGCAACTGTTTTGTAGCCACACAAACGTTGCAGAGTGACCTCCCCTTTGGTTGTTCACAAAGGCAGCCATATTAATTACAACAGTAAAATATCTTAACAGGCACAGTTTACAGAAATACATTAATTATAGTAAAACAACGGCCGGCTAAGCCACCAACACTGATATATAAGTAGATACCATATCAATCTGATTAAAATCCTATCCTACATTCACTACGTATCACAATAAACGTGATACGTAGAGAATGTAGGATATGATTTTAATCAGACTGATACCATATATACAGTTCAAAGGGTACATAACATGAGAAGTACAGAGTATTGGAGAAATCTCTCTTCTCTATAACATGGTCATCACTGTGACATCACAATAAAATGTCAACACAATGACAACACATTCGGGACAGTAATTTAGCTTACAAAACTAACATCACATACCGTAAATATACACGTATGGTGGTCACCTCAGTCTGTAGTAGGCTTATGTTACATATATTCGACTAAAGACTCTGATAATATGGATAACAATGCGTAAAGGTACAAATGGAGATTCAATTCTAAGATCAAACCGTGTTTGTTATTTAATGGTACATATTTGAATACTATATTGATTTAGCATTTCAAGCTTAGATCTCATGTAAATTTACTGATTAGAAATGAAATATTTCATTCCTGTATTTTTTTTTGTTTAGAAATAAATTATAGCTTTTATCTATGTAGCACAATTACACCAAAAGTTTTATTTATATGCATATAGCATAATGTATATATTGCAGATACACGAGTAAAAAATTCGCTCCGTCGGTAACCAATCTCATATATGTATGATTTATAATAAGAGTAAAAGTACTAATGTCACAATATCAATTACAGTAGCACAGCAGCGCACGAGCAAAATAATCTCAAATAAAATATAAACATCTATGACTTGACTTAAATATTTGCATTGATATGGCAAAGTTTGCATCATAGTTGAATACCAGTACGATAAAAGGTAAGGGTATACATGTAATATAGACTAGAAAATATGTACACAAACATATAGAAAATTATAAACCAAAATGACCTGTCAGTTTGAATTTTTATCAGCATTTTTAGAGCAGGTGAAAGATATATAATAATTTCTTTATTTACCTGTTTCAAATTTAAATTATTCAAAATTCAAAATTTTGATGGTTTGCATTATTTCCTTCCATATTTGAAAAAAATTGTAAACTAAGCAGCTCAAATCTATACGGTATAATACCATTCTTGCAGTCAACTATTTTTGACAAAACACATGAACATTTATAGAAACACTTAAAATTCACATTTTTCTTATATCTTGAAAAGAGCACCAAAACCATGACATAAGACGTGTACATTACGATACAACAAAACAAATCCACAAACTCATAAAGCTTTAGCACTTCTTGTAAATTGTAGCACAAAGTGGTTAGACAATGTAGAAACTAACATGGAACACAGGAAATTTACCAATGTTGGTTGGAAAGTTACCAATGTTTGTTTATATTTTAATAATATGAATTATTGTGCCCTCACATTTCTAGCTTAGATAACAAGATGAAAGACAAATAATGCATTAAATGGGCGAGAAACATTTTAAACTGGCAATGTTGTCCAGCATATTTAGTATACACTGTACGACAATCAACTGAAGATGAAATAGACTGTTAATAGCTAAAACTTCACCATAAGGTCACTGAGTCTGGTCTTTTGTTTTCTATGAAATATATTCTATTATACCTGTTACAATGGTACATACTACACCAGTCATTTTCAAATGATGCGGACATAAAGAGAGATTCACAACTGATGTATAAAAAGCTTGTTTAAGCAATTAAGTCCTGACTGATTTCAAAATTTGTGAAAATGAGCACAAAAAATTAATACCCAGATACACTTAATATACAAAAACGATTTTACAAAAGTGAAATCAAAATTAAATCACCCTTTTGTATCTTTATATACATAAACATGTCTGTCAAGAAAAAAAAGCAACTGGTAAAAATAAATAATTTGTAAGCAAATACTATGATCTTCACTTTGTCATTGAGTGACGCCTGTCCATTGTCCGCAAAAATCGGTGAATGAAGACTCGAAACCTGTACAAGAAAAACACCATGCTGTGTAAAAGAGGGGCGACCAGTGCTGCTATCACTACTATGTAGGCAGCTGCAGTGCCAGGACTTACTCCGTAGTTCAGTGGCTTGTAAATGTAGGAATGTCCGAGATGACTTGTTCCGCCTGCCAGAAAGTAGATGAAGGTAAAGAGGCTATAAACGCAGCCAAAGGCACTGGCGTAAATACAGTGTAGAAGTCTGATAGGTGTCCTCGTCACTAGTGTGTCCACTAACACAAACACAGCATTAACACCATGGCTGTTCAGATTTATCACTGTATATCCAGAACCTGAAAATCAAGTTTAAAGTTAGAACAATGTTTCATTCCATTTGATAGAAATGATTAACCAAAAACTTTTTAATTTACAGACTGATAGAGCTGATTGAAGTATTAAATAAAATGTCAAACAACAGGTGTCTCATTTTAATTGATATCAATTCCATGGTGATGTTTGACATGCTGTACATGTAGTCGTTATAAAGATACCAAGTAATTGGCTTGTCAGTAACATGTTTGACTTTTGGTCAATCATCAAAGCACTACGGACAATTTGTTATCACTAACATTTAGGCAAGTCCAACAGAATAGTTGAGCAGTTTACAAAAGTATACATACATACTGAAGTGAACATGTCAATGTTTGTACTAGCAAGTTTTTACCCAATTGTTGAACTAGCTAGAAATTATCTTCATTCAGGGGAGAAAGGATGTGCGGTCGATAAACATAGAAACCTTTCAAGTGTCAAGTTACTAAACTTTCCTATGGTTACGACTGACCGCTTACCATCATAGGCTATGGTCCAAAATAAAATGGTAACTATTTGAGCAGTGCCAGAAGTAATATTGTGAAGTAGCCATTGGAGCTTGATTCTTGGGGAGTTCCGTAGTTCAACATGGATATCTGGAATAAGAGCCAAACCATATTATGTCTATATAACAGTAAAACAACAAGGATTTATATACGTCAATGAAATTAACACAACCTTCTGACAAACAGTGTGTTGGAGATATCCAGGCTTGTATTAATAGAATTGTTAACACCAGAACTCTGACATGTCCCTGAATGCAAGCTTCAGGACCCTGTTGTTTGCTTGACCACATATACATTTGTATAACTCCCATTATCAATGCACATAAGTCACAACGATCATGTTAGATTTTGGTATTAGGGTAGTTATAGCATTGCCCACATAAGTCACAACGATCATGTTAGATTTTGGTATTAGGGTAGTTATAGCATTGCCCACATAAGTCACAACGATCATGTTAGATTTTGGTATTAGGGTAGTTATAGCATTGCCCACATAAGTCACAACGATCATGTTAGATTTTGGTATTAGGGTAGTTATAGCATTGCCCACATAAGTCACAACGATCATGTTAGATTTTGGTATTAGGGTAGTATAGCATTGCCCACATAAGTCACAACGATCATGTTAGATTTTGGTATTAGGGTAGTATAGCATTGCCCACATAAGTCACAACGATCATGTTAGATTTTGGTATTAGGGTAGTATAGCATTGCACACATAAGTCACAACGATCATGTTAGATTTTGTTATTAGGGTAGTATAGCATTGCCCACATAAGCAATCTGACAGTAGCATTATGAACAAAATCTGATTTAATAAAAACAAAGCTATAGCCTAAATGAAAGGTCCTGTAGTTTATACCTATAAATTATTACAAAAATACTGTTATTTTATCCCAATCTAGATTACACACTAGTACAGTACTCTGCCATCATAAGAGCTTATAATAACATTCAGTACTCTGCCATGATAAGAAGGGCTTATAATAACACACTGTACTCTGCTATGATAAGAAGGGCTTATAATAACACACAGTACTCTGCTATGATAAGAAGGGCTTATAATAACACACTGTACTCTGCCATCATGAGAGCTTATAAGTACACACTGTACTCTGCCATGATAAGAGCTTATAATAACACACTGTACTCTGCCATGATAAGAGCTCATAATAACACACTGTACTCTGCCATGATAAGAGCTCATAATAACACACTGTACTCTGCCATGATAAGAGCTCATAATAACACACTGTACTCTGCCATCATAAGAGCTCATAATAACACACTGTACTCTGCCATCATAAGAGCTTATAATAACACACTGTACTCTGCTATGATAAGAAGGGCTTATAATAACACACTGTACTCTGCCATGATAAGAGCTTATAATAACACACTGTACTCTGCCATGATAAGAGCTCATAATAACACACTGTACTCTGCCATCATAAGAGCTCATAATAACACACTGTACTCTGCCATCATAAGAGCTTATAATAACACACTGTACTCTGCTATGATAAGAAGGGCTTATAATAACACACTGTACTCTGCCATGATAAGAGCTTATAATAACACACTGTACTCTGCCATGATAAGAGCTCATAATAACACACTGTACTCTGCCATCATAAGAGCTCATAATAACACACTGTACTCTGCCATCATAAGAGCTTATAATAACACACTGTACTCTGCTATGATAAGAAGGGCTTATAATAACACACTGTACTCTGCCATGATAAGAGCTTATAATAACACACTGTACTCTGCCATGATAAGAGCTCATAATAACACACTGTACTCTGCCATCATAAGAGCTCATAATAACACACTGTACTCTGCCATCATAAGAGCTTATAATAACACACTGTACTCTGCTATGATAAGAAGGGCTTATAATAACACACTGTACTCTGCCATGATAAGAGCTTATAATAACACACTGTACTCTGCCATGATAAGAGCTCATAATAACACACTGTACTCTGCCATCATAAGAGCTCATAATAACACACTGTACTCTGCCATCATAAGAGCTTATAATAACACACTGTACTCTGCTATGATAAGAAGGGCTTATAATAACACACTGTACTCTGCCATGATAAGAGCTTATAATAACACACTGTACTCTGCCATGATAAGAGCTCATAATAACACACTGTACTCTGCCATCATAAGAGCTCATAATAACACACTGTACTCTGCCATCATAAGAGCTTATAATAACACACTGTACTCTGCTATGATAAGAAGGGCTTATAATAACACACTGTACTCTGCCATGATAAGAGCTTATAATAACACACTGTACTCTGCCATGATAAGAGCTCATAATAACACACTGTACTCTGCCATCATAAGAGCTCATAATAACACACTGTACTCTGCCATCATAAGAGCTTATAATAACACACTGTACTCTGCTATGATAAGAAGGGCTTATAATAACACACTGTACTCTGCCATGATAAGAGCTTATAATAACACACTGTACTCTGCCATGATAAGAGCTCATAATAACACACTGTACTCTGCCATCATAAGAGCTCATAATAACACACTGTACTCTGCCATCATAAGAGCTTATAATAACACACTGTACTCTGCTATGATAAGAAGGGCTTATAATAACACACTGTACTCTGCCATGATAAGAGCTTATAATAACACACTGTACTCTGCCATGATAAGAGCTCATAATAACACACTGTACTCTGCCATCATAAGAGCTCATAATAACACACTGTACTCTGCCATCATAAGAGCTTATAATAACACACTGTACTCTGCTATGATAAGAAGGGCTTATAATAACACACTGTACTCTGCCATGATAAGAGCTTATAATAACACACTGTACTCTGCCATGATAAGAGCTCATAATAACACACTGTACTCTGCCATCATAAGAGCTCATAATAACACACTGTACTCTGCCATCATAAGAGCTTATAATAACACACTGTACTCTGCTATGATAAGAAGGGTTTATAATAACACACTGTACTCTGCTATGATAAGAAGGGTTTATAATAACACACTGTACTTTGCTATGATAAGAAGGGTTTATAATATCACACTGTACTTTGCCATGATAAGAAGAGCTTATAATAACACACTGTACTCTGCTATGATAAGAAGGGTTTATAATAACACACTGTACTTTGTTATGATAAGAAGGGTTTATAATAACACACTGTACTTTGCCATGATAAGAGCATATAATAACACACTGTACTCTGCCATGATAAGAGCTTATAATAACACACTGTACTCTGCTATGATAAGAAGGGTTTATAATATCACACTGTACTCTGCCATGATAAGAAGGGTTTATAATATGTTGTTACCTTTCTTTTCCTTCTTTAGAGCAATGTACTGCCAAACATTGACTGCACGGAGGATCTGACAGAAAGTGAGGATGTAAAAGGACCAGTAGGTCAGCATGATGAAGATCTTCCAGCCAAGGTTACCCCCAAAGGCTGTGTAAAACACCATGATAGTAAAATAGAAGGCCACAATAGTCCTGTATATTGCATAAGGCACTGGGTTGTCACTCCACTGAAATCAACCAGAGAAAGATTTTAATACTGGCCTGTAACCCAACAATTAAAGCAAATCAATGGGGACAGATTGCTCTTGAATCTATTTCATAATCATTCAGGGGTTTAAAAAAAAGAATTCCTGTACAATGTTATTTTTCTTCTAATTTTCATCTTCTAATACTATATGTATTAGTTTTCAATTATAACATCCAAAAACAGGAAATGTTTGATTATTTATTTGTTATAAATATACTGGTCAGAAAATATTTCCATTTTTATTCTTGTTATAGAAATAATAGGTCCTTGTGTAAAAAAAAAGCCTGGATTCTACATCATCAATTACATGTGTAAGCCTCAGACAATGTCAATTATAACTAATTGGATAAAACATTTTGAGTAGATAATATCAGACAACTGTATATCAGAAAGTATTTTTATGTACAATTCATTTAATACTACATGTAGTTCATAACTCTGAAACTTCACAATCACGTTATATCATTGAAAATTTACACCCACTGTAAAAAATATCTTAAATAAAAGAGAAAAGCATCAAATAACTAAAATGCAAACACTGCAGAATTCCAGATCTGTATACATGTACAAAATGTTATACACAGGTAGAAATGAGTCCTCGATTACCTGTGACAGTACAAAATCTTCTGGGCAGGCATGGTCCAAGCTATAGCGAGGTTGGTACAATTCTGAAGAGCGTATGCCACTCTTTCCAGATGGCCTCCCTTTCTTGTCCGTGAGTGAATAGTAGGCATAGCGTGTATAGGTGGTCAGAGCGTGATGAGCCATCCGCATACCACCATTGGTAGCGTCCACAAACTTGGCCGTTAGCTTAAACATCACAAGGCTAATGGCTACGCGTGCCACCTACAAAATAAAGATTTGATGAATTCTAAAACTGATCACAAATTGTTAAATGTAGTTTTGTACTGGGTATATATATGCTGTATATATATATAAAGGGAAGTAAAAGGATTCTCAACACCACAATATATATATATAAGGGTATGATAAAAAGTGATTAAATGTCCATGTGAAGGAAGTAAATATAGAAAAAATAAAATTAACGACCGACTAAAAAACTAGCTGCTTACACCCTTCACAGGGCTCTTCAGGTTTATTCAAAAGAACAACGTCGTGACGTCACAATTACAGCTAGTTTTTCAGTTGGTCGTTAATTTTATTTTTTCTATATATAAGGGTATATATGGTATACAGATAACAAGGNCCAAACTGATCATTATCTATTTAAATATACACCAAAATTTGGCACCACACAATAAGCATTGAAAACACAATCCATATATATATGTATGATAGATTTTATCATACTAGGATTATTTCTGTCATACAATTTTATATGGCCCGACTATTAGCAATTGATAAAGTTTTAAAACCAGTTTACTAAGAAGTTTTATACAGTCTCATACATGTGTATATATATATAGCAGAAAGGCCTAGCGGACGATCTGAAAAAATTGTTTTTATTCTATATTTTCCTTCGCAAGGACTTATTTATTTATTATCCACTATATATATATATATATATATATATATATGAGAAAAGGTGATTGATATTCAGTCAAATATTTTTTTTGAATAAATCCCTTTTTCTTTTAATAAATGTCATATAATTTATATATACCTACTTAGTAATTGATTCTGTCGACCCAAACTTATACATGTATACTAGTTAGCAGTATACTGTAACCTCTATGTGGCTCACACAACTGGACAACTTACTTCTTTTTTGTACAATACGACATGTAAACAAGTGAATTTTGTGGGATTTCACTTAATGCTATGTTTGAGATTCTTTTTACTGTAATGTAATGGTAATCTGGTATATCTTAAATAACAAATCCACAATTTTAGTCTTTTAGGCTTATGTTGTGTATATAAAATTGAAGATAAAATATCAAAGCTCTTGTATAATACATGTGTTTACTTATACATGTAAAATATTCCTACTACCGGAATAACAGTGTTCTCCTTTTTATCCAAGTATTCTTTCCTTCTTGTGAATCCAAACAAACCAGCACTAAATCTATTCATCAATTTGTCCTGGGATTTTTTTTCCATTTTCACAAAAAGAAAGGAATATAAATTTAAAAGCTGGATAAATCCTCAGTATTGTATCAGTTCTTAACATTTATGTGTATAAACATATCTCACTATTTTTATACAGACCTTTTTAATGTGATTTTTCTCCAAAGGAAGTATTTAACAGTACAGTACATGTACAGCTTGTATGGATATCTGCAAAACAGAAAATCTATACACTACCGATACATACCAGTATATATACACAGACTTGTGAAATCTCAGTGACATCACTAAACTTTCCACATAGGATGCAATTAACTGTGAGATATGAGTATGAGTCATGTGATCACGGTACAGAGTTCTAGTGGCGCAGTGATACAGGAAATTATACTGTATCATATACATACAGGTCACCATGCATGTACATGTACATGCCTTCATACCGATCCACTGCTTCAAATAACACAATACGCAGATACAGTCCTCATATATATATGTTCAGTAGTGTAACAGTTCACATCTCTCCTGAATTACCTTAATCAAGTCCTGATGTCAGTACAAATAAAATAACTGTGCATATATGCCTTCTGGTTGTTGGCAATGATCCTGCCTTTGTAACAATGGATCCGTATTATGAATGCATGCATGGATTTACGTCAGCAAAATAACATACAAATGAAAACACTGTCCATCAATGGGGATATGTTGAACTTTGCTGATCTTTATGGAAACTACTGTTGACTGGACGTTGGACCTCCACCCCCCTATATTGTCATACTACGTATACTTCTGTTGACTGGACGTTGGACCTCCACCCACCTGTATTGTCATACTACGTATACTACTGCTGACTGGACGTTGGACCTCCACCCACCTGTATTGTCATACTACGTATACTACTGCTGACTGGACGTTGGACCTCCACCCCCCTATATTGTCATACTACGTATACTACTGTTGACTGGACGTTGGACCTCCACCCACCTGTATTGTCATACTACGTATACTACTGTTGACTGGACGTTGGACCTCCACCCACCTGTATTGTCATACTACGTATACTACTGTTGACTGGACGTTGGACCTCCACCCACCTGTATTGTCATACTACGTATACTACTGTTGACTGGACGTTGGACCTCCACCCACCTGTATTGTCATACTACGTATACTACTGTTGACTGGACGTTGGACCTCCACCCACCTGTATTGTCATACTACGTATACTACTGTTGACTGGACGTTGGACCTCCACCCACCTGTATTGTCATACTACGTATACTACTGTTGACTGGACGTTGGACCTCCACCCACCTGTATTGTCATACTACGTATACTACTGTTGACTGGACGTTGGACCTCCACCCACCTGTATTGTCATACTACGTATACTACTGTTGACTGGACGTTGGACCTCCACCCACCTGTATTGTCATACTACGTATACTACTGTTGACTGGACGTTGGACCTCCACCCACCTGTATTGTCATACTACGTATACTACTGTTGACTGGACGTTGGACCTCCACCCACCTGTATTGTCATACTACGTATACTACTGTTGACTGGACGTTGGACCTCCACCCACCTGTATTGTCATACTACGTATACTACTGTTGACTGGACGTTGGACCTCCACCCACCTGTATTGTCATACTACGTATACTACTGTTGACTGGACGTTGGACCTCCACCCACCTGTATTGTCATACTACGTATACTACTGTTGACTGGACGTTGGACCTCCACCCACCTGTATTGTCATACTACGTATACTACTGTTGACTGGACGTTGGACCTCCACCCACCTGTATTGTCATACTACGTATACTACTGTTGACTGGACGTTGGACCTCCACCCACCTGTATTGTCATACTACGTATACTACTGTTGACTGGACGTTGGACCTCCACCCACCTGTATTGTCATACTACGTATACTACTGTTGACTGGACGTTGGACCTCCACCCACCTGTATTGTCATACTACGTATACTACTGTTGACTGGACGTTGGACCTCCACCCACCTGTATTGTCATACTACGTATACTACTGTTGACTGGACGTTGGACCTCCACCCACCTGTATTGTCATACTACGTATACTACTGTTGACTGGACGTTGGACCTCCACCCACCTGTATTGTCATACTACGTATACTACTGTTGACTGGACGTTGGACCTCCACCCACCTGTATTGTCATACTACGTATACTACTGTTGACTGGACGTTGGACCTCCACCCACCTGTATTGTCATACTACGTATACTACTGTTGACTGGACGTTGGACCTCCACCCACCTGTATTGTCATACTACGTATACTACTGTTGACTGGACGTTGGACCTCCACCCACCTGTATTGTCATACTACGTATACTACTGTTGACTGGACGTTGGACCTCCACCCACCTGTATTGTCATACTACGTATACTACTGTTGACTGGACGTTGGACCTCCACCCACCTGTATTGTCATACTACGTATACTACTGTTGACTGGACGTTGGACCTCCACCCACCTGTATTGTCATACTACGTATACTACTGTTGACTGGACGTTGGACCTCCACCCACCTGTATTGTCATACTACGTATACTACTGTTGACTGGACGTTGGACCTCCACCCACCTGTATTGTCATACTACGTATACTACTGTTGACTGGACGTTGGACCTCCACCCACCTGTATTGTCATACTACGTATACTACTGTTGACTGGACGTTGGACCTCCACCCACCTGTATTGTCATACTACGTATACTACTGTTGACTGGACGTTGGACCTCCACCCACCTGTATTGTCATACTACGTATACTACTGTTGACTGGACGTTGGACCTCCACCCACCTGTATTGTCATACTACGTATACTACTGTTGACTGGACGTTGGACCTCCACCCACCTGTATTGTCATACTACGTATACTACTGTTGACTGGACGTTGGACCTCCACCCACCTGTATTGTCATACTACGTATACTACTGTTGACTGGACGTTGGACCTCCACCCACCTGTATTGTCATACTACGTATACTACTGTTGACTGGACGTTGGACCTCCACCCACCTGTATTGTCATACTACGTATACTACTGTTGACTGGACGTTGGACCTCCACCCACCTGTATTGTCATACTACGTATACTACTGTTGACTGGACGTTGGACCTCCACCCACCTGTATTGTCATACTACGTATACTACTGTTGACTGGACGTTGGACCTCCACCCACCTGTATTGTCATACTACGTATACTACTGTTGACTGGACGTTGGACCTCCACCCACCTGTATTGTCATACTACGTATACTACTGTTGACTGGACGTTGGACCTCCACCCACCTGTATTGTCATACTACGTATACTACTGTTGACTGGACGTTGGACCTCCACCCACCTGTATTGTCATACTACGTATACTACTGTTGACTGGACGTTGGACCTCCACCCACCTGTATTGTCATACTACGTATACTACTGTTGACTGGACGTTGGACCTCCACCCACCTGTATTGTCATACCATGTTTACTACTGAGCTCATTAAGAGCTTAACAGTATATACGTAGTATGACAATGTTTTATAACTTAAGTAGACGTAAGTATTAAATATACCACTTATTCCAACCAAACATCCCCATCCCTTAATAAAGCCTGTCTTTTCCCTTTTGTCCGAGTGTCTCATATATCCTGCCATGATCCCCTCATTATACCTCATTTAGTTATTACTAACAATTGACTTAAAAACTGAAAAGATATGTAAATATGTAAATGTATGGCTTTCAAAACTTCCAACAATCATTTTCCCCAAGTTACTAAACACAGAGGGTGTATATCAGATTAAATACAATATGACCTATGGAAATCCGAATTATTATCCTGTTTGTAAACACAGTTTTTTAACACGGTAATGACCGTTCTCAAGATTCAGGTCAAGCCAGAGTTAAGCTGGTTTAAACAAACTTTTTCACTTCTATTTGAATATAATACTGGAGCTCACCTTGTCAGACGTCACTATTAATCGATGTACAATAGTTAGAAAACATTTGCCAAAGGATCATTTAGGGCAGTGGGTTATCAATTATTTAATACACATTCATAAAGGTTAAGTACCAGTCTTTTTATTTTACTTATGATATACACTCATCATAGAGGATATAGAATGTAGGGACACTTGACACTAATTGGACATCAATTAAATTCTGAAACTAATGATGAAAACATGAAAATGTTTGACATCCAAATGTCATATATTATAAAATTAATTCAAGTTTGTAATTTCCTATATATATAGGCTATGGGAAATTTGTAGAAAAGAACTTTACAATGTTTGACTGAATATAATGTAACAATACTGGACATATGAGCTAGGGTTATGTGCTAGAGCTATGAGGAGTTTACCAAAACATTGAAATCCAGACCAGTGAAAAAAAATTCAAGTCGATTCATCCGGGTGCCAAAACGCCCCACATTGTTCAGATTTGTTTTTATATCATAACGAAATTTGGTGCTGTAATAGGGTCAAACTGGGTACTGGTACAACAGTGATAAAATAGAAATTTGACATGACCATGTGCATGTTTGTGATGTTGATATTTTATCAAGTGACATCACAGTTGTTTTGACCACATAACTGATAATAAACATGATGCTGCATCAGACAGTGATGGATAACAAGTTGCTGTACCAGCCACTGACTGATTGTCCACCTGACCTCTGACCTTCATTTACCCCTCAAGATGAGCCTCAATTATTTCATATGAAGTTTGATGATCATGACTCTATATAGGACTTGAGAAAAGAAGCAAAATTTAATGTAAAGTCTAACCAGGATGATGAGCTGAAACATAACAAATGGAGTGAAAAGGGCAGGAATAAACTGAATGTTGTTTTCGAAAAAAACAAAGATCATGTCTGCAGTCTAGGAGAATACTTTTTGCATGCATATGCATGTAGGAGGTTTCTAGAAGAGAAATCACTCATCTTCCAAACAATCCTATGCATTTGTACATCAATTCGAAATTGATTTCTGACTGATACAAGATTGGTTTATCCATCATTGGGGGTCTAGCTGCCGCCCAGCTGTCTATAATGTATTTCATATAAGGATTCATTGAATGGCATTTTTTCGATGGTCATGTTTTTATAGCGGGCTATCATAGAATGTTACTGACATGACTTTTAAATACCAGGTAGGCTGTTCAATACATACATATTTTCGTTTTAAATTTTGTTGTTAATATATCATTTTTAGGTATTCCAGGCCCTTATATTTACAATGTCGGAATGTCTGCATCTTCATCGATCAGTGCAAACAAGATTCCTGGAACAGCCAAACATCACCAAGATATTTGCTTCTAGCGGGCCGGTTGTCTCATGTTATTCAAGTGGAAGGAGAAGCTTCAAAATTTGAATCTTCTACCATCTGAGTGCAGAGTTTTTTTTAAATATCAACCATTTTCCCCCTTTTGGCCCTACCCCTCCAGCCCCTAGGGCAAGGACAGATCTTATTTTTTCAAATAGATAATGCACCTAAGGACCTTTCTATCCATGAAGAGTATTTGTTTGTAACACATCTGAGTCTGATGAAGACTTTTTAAGATTTTTGAACTTTTTAACCATTTACCCTACCCCTCCAGCCCCTGGGGATGGGGCAGGATATGATTTTCTCATACCATCTAATTGCCATCTGGCATCATAATCATTCTAACCAAGTATTAATAATAACTTTACCCCCTCCCCAAGGGAGCACAGATGGCCCATGGGAACCTAAATTTACAATTTACATAAAGCCCCTGATGATCTTTCCAACCATGCAGAGAAACTGACTGTAGTACCTCTAGCTGGGTCTCAAGAAGAAGATTTTTGAAAATTTGGTGAATTTTCCCTTTGGGGCCCCGCCCTGGCCCCTTGGGTTGAGGCAGGAATCCCAATTTTATAATTTCATATTATCTTCCTCCAAGGATGATTCTACTAAGTAAGAATAATTTCCAACTAAATATAAATAAATATTTTCATAACAGTATTTAGGAAGTATTCGAAATTAAAGGAACAGTCATTTCAAAGTTCATTTATATTAAAGGTTTTGAATTTTGATGCATTTGATGGCCAAAACAGGCCCAAACCATACATAGTTATAGTTATTTTCCAGTACAGGAACAATATGTTCCTCTACACCGGACTCTATTATACATGTAATATGTTTTCATGTTTAAATATTAGAGTTCACTTCCATCTATGGTTGCCTTATAATTATAAAGTATTTCCTGATTTTTCCATATTTTGTCTATTCTTGAAAGTGTTTATATTAGGGGCCGATACAACGTCCTCGGGAAGACCGTTCCACATTTTTACAGTTCTAATACCAAAGCTGTTTTTCCTTAGTGTAGTTTTGAATTGTTGCGGGAAGATCATTTTTGAATTCCTCCTATTGCTGTGACGCATCGTTACATCCTTCCAAAGTTTAATAAAATTACAGGATTCCCTGTCGTATATTCCACTTATTATCTTATACAGTTCAATCATATCCCCTCTAGCCCTTCTGTATGATAGTGTCCTTTACAATTTACATAAAGCCCCCAATGATCTTTCCATCCATGCAGGGAACTTGACTATAGAAGCTCCGAGTCTGGAGAAGAAGATTTTTAGAATATTGGTTAATTTTCCCTTTGGGGCCCCGCCCTGGCCCCTGGGGTTAGGGCAGGAATCTCAATTTTACAATTTGATACCATCTTCCTCCAAGTATGATTCTCACCAGTTAAGAATAATTTCCTACTGAAAATTGACAAAAAATACCTAAAAGTGTTATTTCCCTATATAAACTATTATAAACTTGACCCACTCACCAAGGGAAATTTACAATTTAAATAAAGCCCTTGATGATATTTCCATCCATGCAGAGAAATTGACTGTAGTACATTGTAGCTCCGAGTCTGGAGAAGAAGATTTTTGAAACATTGATTAATTTTCCCTTTGGGGCCCTACCCTGGCCCCTGGGGTTGGGGTAGGAATCCCAATTTTACAATTTTGAAGCCTCATCTACCAATGATGATTCTGAAAAGTTTGAAAAAATGATCTTCTGGTTCTTGAGGAGAAGTCGAAAATGTAAAACGTTTATGCACGACGACGGACGAAATGCGATCAGAATAGGTCACTTGAGCAAAATTTAGGTGACCTAAAAATACATATTTAAAAAATATCTCTCTGTCTCTCTCTTTCTCTCATAAGATCTGTACAAATGTATATACCCGGTATTGTATATGCCATCTTGAATTTTGTAAATATATACAGATGTTTTATTTTAGGGAAAGGGCTTTCAATAATTTGTACAATTTGTGCCAAATATAATCCTGTTGCTTTAAAGGCAACAAAATATGTTTAAATCAACCATAGGTGATTTTCACATGTAACGACCATGTTTTTTTTAACATTTCTCCTTCGGGTTCTGCGATTTTTAAGTCCTTACTTAAGCTTTCAACAGGGTCTTTAAAACGGCTGATAACGGTCATTTCCTGGTCTTCATCTTTGACCGCAGTTCCTACTCAAGTTGGACTCAATGCACCTACCAAATGTAACCTGTTTCATTTGCAAATGAATTTGACCAGATTAACCTTGCCTGTGTGTATGACTTTGCGAAGGGAGATAACTATTGACATGTTTAAACAAAGATACCGCTTGATGAGATTTTACATTTTTTATTGAGGAACAAAAGAAATTGTTAAAACAACCAAAAACGATCAATCAGCAAAATATTATCAGCTCACGGTTACTCACGGTAGTGACAAGTCATGTACTGCCCTAGAAATTCTCCCTCCAGCTACCCATTCTGCCTTGTGCAACCCCCCCCCCCGGTACAAATCGATAACAACGTAGATCCACAGGGGTTCTTTACAAATGTGTGAAATACACATATCGTGCTATAACTGATATGGGTCACGTATACAGCACACATAAACAAACATATAAATGTATGTTTATGTGTATTGTGTGCTGTGACCCATATCAGTATGGCATATGTGTATAAATGTATGTATACATATGTGTGTTGTGTGCTGTGACCCATATCAGTATGGCATATTTGTATAAATGTATGTTTATGTGTGTTGTGTGCTGTGACCCCATATCAGTATGGCATATGTGTATAAATGTATGTATACATATGTGTGTTGTGTGCTGTGATCCATATCAGTATGGCATATTTGTATAAATGTATGTTTATGTGTGTTGTGACCCATATCTGATCAGTATATAGCATTTCATACATTTGTAACGAACCCCTGTGGTAGATCCATATGGTCCCATCTTATATGAAACACAGTCGAACAGCCAAATGTCAAGCTACGTTTGGTTTCCTGTCTAATTCGACATTCAATTACTGCAGCTTCACATTCCAGAAGATGAGGACTTCGAAATTTAGCGGCTCTCCAGTTCGAGCTTGCAAAAAGATGGCTGCCGTAGACTCGCAGCTTAAAGCCTGTGCACCGCGTCTAGACATTGTTCTTCCGCTATGATTCATCAGAAAATTTGATATCCTATGAATTTATCAACAAAAATTAAATATGACATTTAAAATATGGTTTTGTGTTTTGTTTCTACATGACTTGCCTGTATTGAACTATCATCGAACACCACCATGTTGTATGATGGTCTTTCAATGATGGACTATATTTTTTTTACATTACGTCTATACGTAGACTTGCACAAGCTCCAGAACCTGGGACAAACGATCAGAATGGACTTCTCAAGTTCCAATTATTGAGAGAAAAAACCCACTTTGATTGAAATATAAGGATCGAATCTTGCTTTGGTCAATTTCATGGGGGGATGAATTGAGTTGGTCATGAAATAAATTCAACATGAACTGCTTTGCAGTTCATTAAATTTGTTTCAAGACCAACTCAATTTATCACCCCATGAAATCGACCAAAGCAAGATTCAATCCTTAAATAAAACTGGCCTTTCGTTAGGACACAGTTCTACCAAAACAATTGTCACGTGACACTTATGCGACAAGTCGGTTACATTCATACACCTTCTACTTCTACCTACTTCAGCATTGTGAAGATTATGTCATAAATATATAGGTGTGTAGCGCTATGAAAGGAAAGGAACAGAACTTAATATTGGTGAGCAGAGATGGATGATTTGAAGGACAGTATTGAATCAGAAGAAATAATTTGAGAAGGGAGTTTGTTCCAATCTTTGATAGTCCGAGGAAAGAATGATTCCTTCCTTACAGACGTCCTGCATGAGATAGTTTGAAATGAGGTTTGATGACTATGCCTTGTTTGTCTGGTTATAGGGGTGAGATATTTAGTAGTAATGGCAACTTTATTATGATGGATTTTATAGAGACGTCTTTCCTACGTCTGCAAAACTACACCATTTTAGGTGTTCTAACATGTTGCCAACGCTGGAGGTGTTACGATAGCGGTTGGCAACGTAACGGGCAGCCCTGCGCTGTACCATCTTTAGCTTGTCTATATCTTTTTTTAAGGAAGGGTCCCATACTGGGCTAGCATATTCAACCTGAGGGCGGACAAGGGACTTATAGGCCTTTTGTTTGATGTTAAAGGATGAAATTTTGAGATTGCGCCTCAGGAAGCCCAGAGTGGAATTGGCCTTTTTTGTGATGTTATCGATATGAGTACTCAACTTAAGATCAGAAGTAATGGTGACTCCCAAATATTTAGCCTGCTCCAACTCGTGAACATGTTGTATGTAGGAATGACAGATGGGATGTCTATTCCTTGTGACAGAGAGGACCTGGCATTTCTCAGGATGGAAAGCCATCCTCCATTTAGTCTCCCAAAGCGCCAGTTTATCAAGACCTTTTTGCAGGGTGTGAGTGTCTCTCTGACTCTGAGATGTTACTGTCAGATACATGATGATGGTATCATCTGCAAAGAGTCTGATAGAAGATGTTATACCCTCAGTGATATCATTGATGTAGTATAAGAAAACACTCGGCCCGAGGACTGAGTCTTGGGGGACCCCGGATCTTACTGGGGCAGAATCGGACATTTCCCCCTCTACTACAACAGTCTGGGTTCTGTCACTTATAAGCCCTCAATCCAGGTATTGACTGGTCCAGTAATTCCATACCCCCTAAGTTTGTGAATAAGGAGAGAATGGCTCACCTTATCAAAGGCCTTCCTAAAATCCAAAATCAATACATCTTTCTGTTTACCATCTTCTAAATTTCTTGAGATGTCATCAATAAATTCTAATAGTTGACTCCCACATGACCTGCATGCAGGATTGTCTAAAACCATGTTGTAAGGGGTAACAAATGATGTTGTTATCAGCATGATTCATGATGTTACTTACTATAATATGTTCCAACATTACTTACAACAAATACAAGTGAGAGATATGGGACGGTAGTTTTCAGGGTTAAATTTTTGGACTTTTTTGTAAACTTGCAATATGTCAGTTATCGTACTAGAGGGGCGGGGCTAGTGACAGTGACATATTGCTCGGTTCCTATGATATAACCAATATTTGTCGAAACTTCTGATAGTGCATGCTTATATAGATAAAGGAAATTGTAGTGGAAATATAAATCTATAAATAACATATTTGAAGCACATGATCGCAATAAAAACTACTCTCTTTTTTTTTTACATGTTACACACTAGGTAGCCATTTCAAAATTACATACTGGTTATTTTGAAATGTTATTACAGTAGGGATATAAGGACTTATTTTTTTAAACGTTCCCGCTTGTTTTCGGTCACGAGACCATACGACAGACGCGGAAATGGCTACCAGGCGAGAAAGACATTTTGAAGTATGGACTGTCGTGTTTCTTGGTATCTGGGCATCCGGACTTCTTGCCATAACGACAGATGATGGTGTCCCAAAATCAACAGACACCGAATCATGCATGCCTCCTGCTATGGGATACGAAATACAGAACATTACGAAAGGGTAAATGTTGTTGCAGACTGGTTACCTTTCCTGATTTGGTCAGGTATTTATAGATTTCTATGTGTTTTGATGTTTACTATCAAGCCTCAACCCCATTTGGCATTAAAAATCATAAATATTTGCTTAATTCTTATGTCACAGCGATATTTTTTTTGTTTCATATTGTAAAACAACGTGATGAAATATTGACAAATTGTCAACAGTGTACTTCCGTTTTCTAGGTCAGTGTTACTGAAATACCAAGAAAACGGCGTTTGGATTCGGAAATGAGTGTTAGATAAAGTTTTCACGAGCAAAAAAACAAAAACCGACGTGCTAGACTTACATAATTTTTAAGGATGGTTCCTTTCCTCGTAAAATGCTTGAGATAGTGAGGTCACCTCACAGGATCACGGAATTGTTAACAGAATGTGGTTACTACGGTCACGTGGGATGATATTATTGTCGTAAGAGTTACCTCCCATCAACAGTAATTGGAAAACTAGCAATCCCCACCCCTACCTTTTTTTCGTTCTTTAAAGAAATGTATTTTTANAAAAGGGGGGGGGGGGGGGGAGAAAAATTAGACATCATAATAAATACTGGCCTGTTTTCCAAAAAATCCCATTTCAACATTTATGTTTTCCATTTAATTATATTGTTAACGGAAAAAGAAATAAAAAAAAATGTTTATATTGAATAGTTATACTGGCCCTCTTTTATTATTGAAAATGCCAAGAGTATGATAAATATATACTTATTTTACCACCACAGGTTTTTGAAAAAAAAATATTTAAAGGTCACCGGAAAGTTGCATTTTGTTAATTAAATATAACGTATTCTGTATGTAGCGTGAGGTTTACCTTACCAATTTGACCTATTTACCAGGTAAGTCCCTAACATGTAGTCTAAAGTCAGTAAGTCACATATGTTCATTATTTTTGGGTTTAAATTTAATTTTGTTGCATTGGTTTTAGAAAATAATGAATATTATATAAACTGTATACCAAATAATTATTACTATGGTATATATGCTACCGTACAAATCAAGGTTGATATTATGTGACATTATGTCCCAACAAATTAGTCCAAGCTTATACAGAAAGAAGTTTTTTCTTTCGGCTTTTACATTAGCTTGAATCTGTTTGAAAGACCACTAGCAGAGTTAAGCAATATTATCCTAGTCTTACAAAGAGACCACTCCATTCTTCAGAGACCATCAGATGCCATTTTGGCATCCCAAAAAACATTTTTAGAAGTATACCTATTAAATATATGAGAGGCCCACTTTTTTTGAAGAGCACTATTAAGGCTTTTCTTGGTCAAGGGCTCATATATACAGAAATGTCTGCATCAAGAAAAATATTGTTAAACATTTAAATCCATTAATATTATCTCCTACTTACCTTTATAATCAGGTGAAGGATCATCCTCAGTTCCTGTCCAGCAAGTCGTCTGTTTACATATTACACTTGCTATTTCCTACATACCACTTTTCCTGTTATACCATAACATATCATGGTCTGAACTTTTTATAGATATTCATGAAAAAGTGTCAGCAAATAATACTAAATATGCACTGCTATATGTTTACAGAACATATACTGATATATTGTATAATGTATACATCTGCATATGTCAACGAAGATGACCCTGACCAGGTAGACAAGCTTTGCTGTTATGTCGGTCACCCGCTTAACTCTAAAACACTGTTTTACTAGGCATATATATATAATATTGCTATGTACGACATTTTTCTTTGCTGGAGGCTACATAAGCTGGTTACTTGGTAAGGTATACAAGTTCTGGTAATATGCACTGGGTTAATCCTTTGGGAACATATTTACACCTACCTGCCATTAGGTATAGGTCACTTCCTCGATCATCATTCACATCTGAATTAAATCAAATTAACCTATTTTCATCTGAGAACAGCAACACATAACTAAAATATTTCACAAAATTGACTTTATTTCAACTAAGATTTTATATTGATATGCAGAATAAACTAGCTAAGAGTAACCTTTCTGTATTGTGAATAATATGTGAAGTCTTTGCTGTATAACTTATAAGTACTTGCTGGAATATTCAATATAATATCATAATCTTAATCTATGATAATTTCCTACAAAATATCCACAGCTGTAAATAATAAAATGTCTTAGGTATTCATGAACATATTAATGGATGCAACGATGGTTATTTTTTTCTATTTAAGAAAGAATCAACATAGGTGTGCACAGCATGATGTAAGATATAGATATATTGAAGGCTTGGTTTTTTGGAACATTTTAAAATTTAGAGTTATATATTCTGCTGTAATAAACAAAGAGATGTTGATATTAACATCTATTATACCAAATGAAAAATGAAAATTTAATTGAAGATGGCCATACATGGTTTCGTGTTGACTTAATAGGCAATGTGACCTATCTATAGGTAATCTATTTAAATTTATATTATCATTAACTACAGTTAAACAGACCTATTTAAGTAAATCAAGGAACTAGCTAATCGGTCAGTTAGGTAATAAAAAGAGAGAAAAAACTCTGTATATGTTTTTACACTTCATATATGTATGGGTATATAAATGCCCAAATATTCTGTTGTTGATTTTGGTAACCGGTTCACGGTCTCCCGCCCTGAAGTAACTGGTTAACTGGCTAACCATTGACAACCCTATTATTAACCAATGATACGTGTTGTTACATCCCCGGCCCAGTGCCATACAATTGTTACGTGTTTATATATATGTGTGTTGTTACATTCAGTCAAAGTTGTATAAGAGACCGCTCTCAGAAAGTCTCGGAACACAGGACGGCCCTTAATACAGGCTCAATTAACATTGAAACCACTACAATGGGAAACATCTAAAGTGGTCTCTTACACAGGTGAACACCTAATGGAGGTAGTCACAGACTCAAGAACAGATGCTCCAACCAATTGAGCTACCTGGTCAACAGTGATTGGCCCAGGCCAGTTCCGTTGCATTCCTCCCTCCATTTTCTAAGTCTTTTTTGGCCAAGTGTACAACCAGAACTTGAAACAAGTGTTAATCAAATGCACCACTGTAATCATTCTTGTTCTCAGGTAGACCTGGGAGGATGCACCACTGTAATCATTCTTGTTCTCAGGTAGCCCTGGGAGGATGCACCACTGTAATCATTCTTGTTCTCAGGTAGACCTGGGAGGATGCATTGTAATAGGAGAAAAAGAAATGCACAGCCAGACTGGGATTCAAACCCCAGACCTCCAAACTATAGACAGATTCCATAACCAACTGAGCTCCCTGGTCACTGGTGATCAACCCAGTCCAGTTCTGGTACAATAGTTAGAATATGCACATATATATATCCCATATCATCTTTTACTTTTTCTTTGTCTGCTTCATTAGATCATGGACATTCAGAGAAACAGGCCAGAATTGTGTGGGGAGTGTTGCTGGTCCTAATGGCAGCCTGTCAAACTGTACCTACACTGTGGCATTCTGTCAGAAGTTGAACAACTGTAGCGGTGGCAGTGTGTGTGTAGAAACATTCAACGGGACTGGTAACAACCAAACCGTCAAGCATGTCCAAGGAGGCTTCATTGCTAACCCGTTCAGGGTCACAGGTACAATTTTAGATAATAAAATCCTAAAATCAGAAACAAAAAATATCTGTATTCAAAATAATTAAAATAATCCAAAAGATTTTATAAACTCACCTGGGCCAAAATCTTACATAACCCATTGCTTGCATCTTTCTTTGTCTGTTGCCATGCAGGTATATATCCTAGTATTATGATACTTTCAACTTATTTCTAAAGACAATACAGGGGGGGGGACCCAGGAATTAATTTTGGGTGTTGGCCAAAATTTTAAACTCAGAAAAAGACTCAAAAAAACTAATAAATTATAATTGTCATGTCAGTTGTACATGTATACTACTTTCTGGCAGCAAACATTATATAAAACTTCATTATTCAAACTTGTTTAAGCACTGCCAAGCGTAAAAAGCTAGAATTCATCGGACATTATTTCCATTGTCAAACAGATTGAATAAGGCATAGAATAGTTTTCTGAGTTTGCAGTATTATTCCAGTATTTATATTTTATGATAGCGGAGCGAGTGTTAACAAATTTGCTGAAACAAAAATAATAATAATTAATAATAATATACAACATTTGATATAGCGCCCTATCTAGCTAACATAAGCCACTCTAAAGCGCTTTACAGTACATAGATATACAATTAATACAATTAGCTAGGATAAGGCGCTAACTACTAGTCCTATGCCACCTTGCTAATATCTCCCTATGTGTGTATGCCTGCATGTGTGCTGGAGATGTATTGTGTTCTGTTTGTAGTGGGACCGTGCTTCCAACGGCATCTTTTTTAGCTCACCTGGCTGGAAGGGCCAAGTGAGCTTATGGCATGGTGCGACGTCCGGCCGGCATCCGGCGTCAACTTTTTACTTTAAACAACTTCTTCTCAATAACCAAGAGGCCCAGGCTGATGATAGGGCTACCAAGTTTGTTCAAATGAATGACCTTGACCCACTTTCAAGGTCACAGGGGTCAAATGTCGTAAAATCTTCAAACAACTTCTTCTGAATAACCAAAAGGCTGAGGGTATACTGATATTGGGCCTGTAGCATGCTGGGATGAAGGGCTACCAATTAAGGGGTCAACACTTTCTCTGATATTCCATGCGTGCGACGCAATGGTAAAAATGTAGGTTTTTAGTTAAAATTAAACTTATTTGAGCCTTCCACACTGACCTGACTGGAGACCCTAGGTACTAATATATAAACAAAAGAGGATTAACCCCCTATTGTTTAGAGTATAAGTAGTGGACTCCTTGTTTGGGCAACTGCACCCTTAGGCATATATAGATATTCAAACTGTTGCTTGCCATAGAAAATCATAGTTCACAGGATGATTGATATTAGAAGAAAATCCCATATGAAAAAGAGGAAAATCTTCTAAAACCTAAGTCCAGATTATATTTGGACACCGCAAAAGGGTGTTGCCCGGGCAACTATGGCAACACCCCTGGGTCTGCCACTGCAATTGGTGAATTTCATCTGACTTGGCTTGGTTCATGCTTAAGTGATGGGGATCTGAAGTTGTGTCACTATGGACTTTTACTGGATCAGACCTACAGGGGCCTCAAAAGGCAGGAAAAGGGAGAAGTCTTACGCAAATTTTAAAGTCTTCTCCTAATGGAGTATAAATGGTAGAACTTCTCTTTTATTTGTAGAAATGCCATATATAGTATGAAGAATGTGAATTGTTCCTGTCACAATATCGATCGAAGTTTGCTATAGTTATAGCAGGGAAATTGTCATAAAACACTGTTTCTGTCACATTTTAGCTCACTTGGTGCTAAGTACCTTTGACCTAATATGCAATGGTACAGCATCTGTTATTTGTCTGTCTGGAGTATTTAGACCATGGTGAGCTTATGCCATACCGCAGCATCCTTCGTCAACTTTTCCTTTAAATTGCTACTAGTCATGACTGACTGAGCAGATTTTGACCAAATTTGGTCAGAAGCATCCTTGAGGGAAGGGGAACAATTTTGTATACACGGTGGGTCTGGCCCACCTGGGGGCTGAGGGGCGGGGCCCAATAGGGGTGATATAGCAAATTCTTTAAAATCCTTCTTCTTCTGTAGTAATGAAAGGATTTGTTCCATATTTGGTAAGAAGCATCCTTGGGTAGAGGGAAACCAATTTTGTATAAACGGTGGGTGTGGCCCCCCTGGGACCTGAGGGGCGGGGCCCAATAGGGGAAATATAGGTAAAACCTTTATAATCCTTCTTCTAGCTACCATAGGGATTAAGGGATATTATCCTAATTTAGTCTGGAGCATCCTTGGGCAAAAGGGACCTAATTTCGTATAAACAGCGAGTGTGCCCCTCCTCCCTCTGGGGGCAGAGAGGGGCCCAATAGGGGAAACATAACAAATTCTTCAATGGCAGGATTTTGTCAAAATTTGGTATGAAGCATCCTTGGGTGAAGGGGAACCAGTTTTGTATAGACGGTGGGTCACCCCCCTTCCCCCTGGGGGCTGATGGGCAGGGTCCAATAGGGGAATATAACACATTCTTTAAAATCCTTCTTCTTCTGTAGGAATGAAAGGAATTGTTTCATTTTTGGTCTGATGCATCCTTGAGTAAAGGGGAACCAATTTTGTATAAACCGTGGGTCTGGCCCCCCAGGGGCATGACGGGCGGGGCCCAATAGGGGAAACATAGCAAATTATTCCTCAAAATCCTTCTTCTTCTGTAGGAATGAAAGGGGTCCATATTTGGTGTGGAGCATCCTTGGGTAGAGGGGAACCAATTTTGTATAAACGGTGGGTGTGCCCCCCCCTCGGACCTGAGGGGCGGGGCCCAATAGGGGAAATATAGGTAAAACCTTTATAATCCTTCTTCTAGCTACCATAGGGATTAAGGGATATTATCCTAATTTAATCTGGAGCATCCATGGACAAAAGGGACCTTATTTTCGTATAAACAGCGAGTGTGCCCCTCCTCCCTCTGGGGCCAGAAGAGAGGGGCCCAATAGGGGAAACATAACAAATTCTTCAATGGCAGGATTTTGTCAAAATTTGGTATGAAGCACCCTTGGGTGAAGGGGAACCAATTTTGTATAAACTGTGTGTCTGACCCCCAGAGAGGCAGAGAGGCGGGGCCCAATAGGGGAAATAGAGGTAAAACTTTTAAAATCTTTCTTCTACCATAAGGATTAAGGACTGTATCCTAATTTAGTCTGGAGCATCCTTGGGTCAAGGGGACTCAATTTTGTATAACTGGTGGGTATGACCTCCCTTAGGGCATAGGGGTGGGGCTCTGTTTGAAGTTTGTTCTTGCTATATCTCAAGTACTGGATGAATCTTTCTGAAATTTCATATGTACTTACAGCACCTACTATGGCGTGCTATATCTTTACTTCATACCAATTACTTTAAACATATATTCAGGTGAGCAATACAGGTCTTCTGGGCCTCTTGTTTTATATTTAAATGACTGATACATATGAAATTACTAAAAGGCCTGGAGTAACAATATTTGGTCTGTAGCCTAGTTCCATGCTGGGTGCTATCTAGTTTGTGAAATGAAGGACCTTGTATCACTTTCAAGGTCACCAGAGTCAGATATGTTAGAATATTTTAACAACTAGTTCAAAATTTGTCCAAGGTCATTCTATTTGGCCTGTAGCATGCTAGGTTAAAGGGCTATCAGGTTTATTGAAATGGATTACCTGAATGAATTTTTTTCCAGATCACAGATTAAAAATGTGTCAAAATATGTGATCAATTGTTAAGAATATGCTATTACCTTTTGCAACAAAAACTACATTTACACATGACAGTAAAAGGGTGCAGTATACAGCTGTATAAATTAATATTGAAAATATTCTTTGACAGATACCTCACTGAATGGTGGATTTCAGGCACGCTTTGATAAGGGAGACAACTTCACAAAGCCAGACGGCAGTAGTTGTCAGCTGTCTGCTGTCATCAACTTCGATTGTAACAGGATCTTAGCCTGGGTACCCAACTCGGACAAAGACACAACACCTGTCCCACAAGCTGCTGTGGAGCAAGTGAAGTTTGATAAAGAAAATTGTCAGGTGAATTTAAATTGTTTTTATAGACACATACAATACAGCACTATAAATAATTCTTAGTTCATCACCCCTAGACACTGTGCAGCAATTTGTGGACAATCACAACAATCCAGACACTAATGGTTCACATCCTATACAGTCTTAATTAAGGTCCAAAGCAATAAAGGCTCACCATCCAAGACCCTTTTGTTTCACACCCTAGTTACAAATAAATGGTTCAACACTCAGGTCAATAACAGTTCACACCTAGCTAGTCACTTAAATGGTTCATGGTGTATACCCTAGTCACTAATGGTTCATGGTTTATACCCTAGTCACTAATGGTTCATTGTTTATACCCTAGTCACTGATGGTTCATTGTTTATACCCTAGTCACTAATGGTTCATTGTTTATACCCTAGTCATTAATGGTTCATGGTGTATACACTAGTCACTGATGGTTCATGGTTTATACCCTAGTCACTAATGGTTCATGGTTTATATCCTAGTCACTGATGGTTCATGGTGTATACCCTAGTAACTGTTGGTTCATTGTTTATACCCTAGTCACTGATGGTTCATTGTTTATACCCTAGTCACTGATGTTTCATGGTGTATACCCTAGTAACTGTTGGTTCTTTGTTTATACCCTAGTCACTGATGGTTCGTGGTGTATACCCTAGTCACTGATGTTCATTGTTTATACCCTAGTCATTAATGGTTCATGGTTTATACCATAGTCTCTAATGGTTCATGGTTTATACCCAAGTCACTAATGATTCATGGTTTATACCCTAGTCACTGGTGTTTCATGGTGTATACCCTAGTCAATGATGGTTCATGGTTTATACCCTTGTCACTGATGGTTCATGGTTTATACCCTTGTCACTGATGGTTCATGGTTTATCCCCTAGTCACTAATGGTTCACACCTAGCCACTAATGGTTCATGGTTTATACCATAGTCTCTAATGGTTCATGGTTTATACCCAAGTCACTAATGATTCATGGTTTATTCCCTAGTCACTGATGGTTCCTGGTTTATACCCTAGTAACTAATGGTTCATGGTTTATACCATAGTCTCTAATGGTTCATGGTTTATACCCAAGTCACTAATGATTCATGGTTTATTCCCTAGTCACTGATGGTTCCTGGTTTATACCCTAGTAACTAATGGTTCATGGTTTATACCCAAGTCACTAATGATTCATGGTTTATACCCTAGTCACTGGTGTTTCATGGTGTATACCCTAGTCAATGATGGTTCATGGTTTATACCCTTGTCACTGATGGTTCATGGTTTATCCCCTAGTCACTAATGGTTCACACCTAGCCACTAATGGTTCATGGTTTATACGCTAGTCACTAATGGTTCATGGTGTATACCCTAGTCACTGATGGTTCCTGGTTTATACCCTAGTCACTAATGGTTCATGGTTTATACCATAGTCACTAATGGTTCATGGTTTATACCCTAGTCACTAATGGTTCATGGTTTATGCCCTAGTCACTGATGGTTCATGGTGTATACCCTAGTCACTAATGGTTCCTGGGGTTCATGGTTTATACCCTAGTCACTGATGGGTCATTGTTTATACCTTAGTCACTGATGGTTCACACCCTATGCACCTGTGGCTCACATCCTAGACAGTCATTAATCAGTACCCAAGGGCACTCACAAAGTCCCTAAACTATAATGGTTTACCATCCAAGATACTTTAAATATGACTCAGCACCTTAGTCACTGTTCAGCACTCTACAGAAACCCGAAGTTTAGCATTCACAGTTCAATTCAACTCACAACACTCCCCTGTATATGGATAGGATCCAATTTTGTGGATGTTAACCTCACACTCGATATAAAGTCCATTGTCAATTTTAACAGACTAGTTTTGGGAAAAACATTTTAAGTGCATACACAATGTTCATTGATTTACATACAAAGATCAAATGCAAATAGATTTAATGCTTATTTTACACCATTTTCTAAGGACATGAGTCTCTGAAGTGCATGCTAGCGTGATCAATATTTGATTGATAAAAACTCAAACATTCTGGGATATTGATCTTACAGCATTAATATCTGTATATGCTGATGTAACAGGTGTTTTCTTTTAGAATTGGATTTTTTACAGCTTAGCTGTTACCAATATTAATGAGCCATGTTGTTTTCAGGTGCAGGCCACATTTTGGTACGCCGGCGCCTGTATTGCTATAGTGCCAGCCTCGACTATTTCTGAAGATTTGACAGCAGGAACAGTTCTCATCATCATGTTAGTATCCTTCTATTCCTGAGATTAGATATTTTGCCAGACATAATACAAAGTGAGTGAAGCTGATTTTATGAAACTGTCGTCTACTGTTTATACATAAGCATAGGATATACATAGGTAGGAAGGTAAATGGGTTTTATTTTATCAGTCTAAAAAGCATTTATGTGACTATTTATCAAATTTCAATTTCATAATTGATATATATATATCTTCAATAAGATTCATCAGTTTGAAAATATGTAATATAAAAGTTTTACATTCTGCCCCGTTATGTAGCTTGACAAAGGGACCAGTCGTTTGATACATACATTGTTTGTGCAGAAAGTAAAACTTTGATTTATGATACATGTATAATTCAACATGGAAAATATTTTGTACAACATTATAACAAATTGTAGCGTTCGATTATGTATTAATACACCATTATTACATTACAGATTCTTTGTGTCCTTGACTTTATACTTCTGTTGCGGTATCCTGATAAATCTGGTTCGAGGATTCCGTGGAAGGGATGTTCTACCACAATCAGAATTCTGGACACAGCTGCCGGTTCTCATTGCTGTAAGTCTGGTCCATTACCAGCATAAAGTTAGGGCTATTATTAGGGGGAGGGGTGTTCTTCAAGGGAGACAATCAGTGGAATAACTACCAGGCTGGAAAAAGATAATCGCAATATGTAGAGTATCATAATTAATTTTTCTGTATGTAATGAATTTCACCCTTTATTGGTTAATAATTAATATCAACACATACATGGATTGAAGTCTTCCCAATAGGAAAGATCACTTGGTTTTATTTAGATTAGATTATATCTGCATCAACTGGTAGGGTTTTTATCTTTAAAAAATATTTTTTTAAATTTTAAGTTTGTTCCTTCTTATCATAGGTAATACTAAACCATTGTAGTTATTTAAGTATTTGTCTACGTGTGTCATAGGTAACACCATATGTGTCTTTGTATCAGGGATAACAACAGTCTATGTGTTATAGGTAACACATGTGTCTTTGTATCAGGGATAACAACAGTCTATGTGTTATAGGTAACACATGTGTCTTTGTATCAGACATAACAACAGTCTATGTGTTATAGGTAACATATGTGTCTTTGTATCAGGGATAACAACAGTCTATGTGTTA